AGAAGGTATGAATATTCTGATCTTTTAAACAAATTATAATGCATGAGTAAGTATAATACCATTTCTAACTTTATATTTAACAACACTACACCTGTCCTATTGCCCGTGATTGGGGATAAATTGTGATAATTCAGTATTCAAAATGGCGGTTTATGTCTTTTACTATTTTTTAGTTAGTGTCAGTTTAGATTTTTTATTGTGTTTAAACCTTTTTTAAATATCTTTTTGTTAATAACTTAATATTTTATAATAATATTAGTGTTTGTTAAACTTTAAAGCTGCCAATTTGATGGTTTACTCCATTCTTGGTGAATTTTTTGAGGTGAAAACAGAAATTTAAATCCGGCCGGAAAATTCGTTAAATCCGGCCGGATTTGAAATCCGGTGCACCCCTATTCAAATCCGATTATCGATTTTCAGTTTCATTTAACAAAATCTTAAAATACATTCGAATCTGATGAATCCACCTCAACATATGGATTTTTCGGATTCAATCTGAATCTTGATTAGGATTCAACGTTCCTTTTGAGCTTCTGGCCTTCTAGCATGTACCTTGACCCGACCGAAAGATATAGTAGGACAGAAAACTTCTTGTAAAAATGGCGGGAAAACAGCAGGCGAATTCCGATTCTCACAATTCGTTCCATTTGTTTAACGAATCCAAAGAATCCGAATCCTAAAAATCCAAATCTAGATTTACAAAAGAAACGCTCCTTACCGCACAGTTTACAAAGATAAATTACATTCACATCATAATTTAGTTCACAAATAACAAGGAACTACATGTACACAGTCATTATTTATGCCTATAAAACATGACTGAGGCATTATGGTACATGTACTATCTACAATTTACAAACAAGCACGATGGGTGAAGCAGTCGAATGACTCAGCATGAAAGTGGGTCGCACTAAGATGCACCAGTTTATTGTTTGATCACTTTATAGTCTCCTCTCTATCTTGTACTAAAACGAGAAATAGAAAATTATTGCACGAGAGTTTCGACAAAATTACTGTTAACTGTCAGACGTAAACCACAGTACCTGCTTCCTCTCTTTTTAAAAGAAGATTTTCCGGTTGTTCCAAAATTTCATTTTCTTCATTCTCATCTGCATTATCATCTTCGTTATCTTCTGACAAATAAATTATTTGGGAAATTTAGTTAGCACGTGATATCCCCTGTTGTGTCTCTCACTTGATTCAATTGACATCAGTGGTGGATTTATAGGGGGGGGGAGGGGGGCAGCCGTGCGCACCCCTGTTTACCTTGGTCAACAGGGGAGCAAGGGGGATGCGAAAAATTAAATTTATCTCACTTTGAAATGTTTGAGGTATTCAAAGTTTGTCATCAGTCTTAGACCAACTTAAGGTTTGGAATTCAAGGCAGCACCGAAGCACTGGTTCAAAATACCCAATATTAATTAATTTCGTTTTTAATTAATTCATAATTAATTTGTGTAATGTTGACCGTTGAGTTCTGGGGGATTTATATTTTATATAATTGTTAAATTATATTATATTTGTGAATTGTAACCAAGAAACTGCTACTGTAGGTGCACTTTTTAATGACAGTACCTAGATGCTGGCCAGTGCTGGGTTCGGTGTGCTCGCCCACCACTCCCCTAAAAAAACCTTGCTGGATCCACAACTGATTGACATTAGTTACCTTCTCGTAAGGCTATCTCTTCATCATCAGATTTTTCATCATTGTTCACTTGTTCGTCTGCATCTCGTTTGTCTCTCTCTAGTCTATCTTCCCCTTTGTTGTGTTCAGCTAGAGCTTGTCTTTCTCTTGCTTCTAAATCTGGCTGTTCGTCAAGGTTGAAGTTCTGCTCGTCTGTTTTCATGGCAAAATAAGAATAAAATAAACATGAACTTTGGGCATATTAGTGAGTGACATTTTGATAACTAGAAAGGCTCGCTAACACTCTATAATTAATAGGGATGGCTACAAAGAAGACTATATATTCTTCTCAAAATTTTCAACTACCTTTGCCATCTTTATTTATAACTTCAATATTATCATTATTTTCATCTTTTCTTTCAATATTATTATCTTCTTTCTGTCCTCCGCCATTTTCCCTGACGACATCCACAACATACTTGCCAGCTTTGGGTATCTCAACATTGTTGGCATTAGTGTCTACGTTAACTTTTGAAACTTCATTCGTATTGTCTTGTTTTTCTGGGATTACTTCCGTCAACTTTCCTAAATTCTTAATGAAAAGACACGGAAATTATTATTTTTGAAAGCAGATTTTAAAGTAAAAAAGAACACTACCTCGGCACAGGATAATCAGGGTTTGTACAAGTTAGGAAAAGGTAAATTCAAGAACTTTCATATCAGGAAATTCAAGGACTAAAGGCTGAAGACAATTAGGTGTTAGAAATCAGAAAAAAAGTGACATTAAACTGTTCGTTGGCAACTTTAATGAATTTCAAACCGCTTTGGTCATTGTAAGACATGAACAAAATCAACTTACAAAATGTCAAATTCTTAATCCCAAACAATTTCAGAAAATATCCAGTAAAGCAAGGACAATTTAAGGAGTTTCCAGCACTTCTTTATAAACTCAAGGACGTTCAAGGCCTTGAATTTTTGTTTCCAAATTCAGGGACTTTCAAGGATTTTCAACTTTTGTACGAACCCTGGATGATTTTTTAAACCTTTGTAAAAAGTCTTGAAAAGCAATCAAACTAAAGATATGGACTTCACAATTGATAAAAAGAAGCTTCAAATCATAAAATGCTAAAGTTTAATCAGAGTTAAACCGATCAATCTAGAATTTCAGAAAGTTTGAAAAATCACTATCCGGTGGATATCGCTCTCTGGCTTTCTTACAACTGACCACAGAAAGACTTAAGACACAACAAGTATACGGGGTGTATCAAAAAAAGCGCAATCCTCGACTGAAATGTAAATTGCTAAACAAATAATAGACGAAAACGTTAAAGTTTACATGCATTTTAAAGCGTAGCCATTCAGCTTTCTAACAGTGGGTTGTTTCTTAAATTTGACTCATTGGTTCGCGGGTAATAATACTTTACGTTATTGCGATTGGAGATTAAAAAAATTGAGATGGAATAACAAATCGTTCTCATGAAAATAATTGATTTTTTCATTAAAACAAAAAAATGTTGCATTTTATTAAATGGATTGTAACAATAAGTATAATTACGGCTTTTCTTCCACTATTTTTAACTCAGTTTGAAACTTCAAATGCGAGATAATTTTGGCTTGGACCATCTAAGCTGACTGACATCAACTTGCTATAATTTCTGTTTACATTACATCGCAATTCGATGACACTCTGGCTCAGACACCAGAATGTTTTTACGATTTTTAGCATTCGTTTAGGATTGTTAAACAACCTAGTCTCTTTTAAAATACTTTAAATTTGTTCTTACGTGGTTTTCCAGATGTAGTGACGACAACATTAAAGTTTAAAGAAGAAAATTCTAACATTTAAACCGACTAAACAATAACATAGTAAACTTGCATAATTAAACAGCAACTAAAAATGATAGGTTTTACTAAATCTTTTCCTGTGCAATTATTACTAGCATTGGAGACAAGGATAATAGTTTGTTTGAAAGAGAAAAGAACAGGTTTTGAAGTAAGCCTAAAGCGTTTAACTAGAAATAGTATTTCGAAAGTTATTAAGCACAAAAGATGAATTGCGTTTATTTTGATACACCCTGTATAAGTAACACACATACAAAACAAACAAACCCGGAGAAACTGTTTTTGCTTCTGAGCCTTGTCGCTATCACTCACAGTATCGCGGATATTTTTAACTTTAATCTTATTTGCATCAAATTTTGAATTTGATTCTTTCGCTGCTCTCCTGGAAGACAAAAGGATCATCATGATTATTCAGTCATTTCGTCCTTTCATTTTCCTTTCCATTATTTCAACGTGCAGTTACAACAGTACCTTCTTCTTATTTTCGAACGCAACTTTTCTTTGCCAGCCACATTTGATGCTATTTCATTTTTCTTCACCTCTGGGACTTGATATGAGTAGATAAAAAATAAGAATTCAATGTATAACTTTTTTTCGAAGTGACTATTGGTCTGTATTTGATAAAAATATTAGTGGTTCCTGTAATTTATAACAACCTACTGAGTAGAAATTTTAGGTTTACTGTATGCATTGAAATATTAATTTGCAAACACATGACACAAAATGTTACCTGTAACACTATCTTTCTTGCCCTTATCATCTTGGCTTATTTTTTTCTGTAACTTCGCCACAACGTTCTAAAAACAAAATAAAATTAAAAGAAAGCTAATGTCCTTCAAAATCTACAAGTGCTCTCGATTTTTGCAGGCTGTTCAGAAACAAACCACAGCAATTCTTTCTAAAATACTAGTTAAAGCATGACATAAAATCCCATAATAAAAACAATCTCATGGTTTTTTTGGAAGATATATTCCTCACCTGATATTGTGCAACATTTTCTTGCAAATCTTGAACTTTGAGTTGCAGTAAATTTTCTTCCTTTTGATAATGCTCCACTTGCTCTAACATGATATATGGGAAAATTGTTAGTGAATGACAAATAAATTATAGAGAAATTACCGATTTTCATATAAACCTTGATACATAAAAATTAGAGAAAATAAATAAAATTCTTGATTGAATTGCTAGTTTGTTATACTATTGCCAAATGTGATCAATTCCCACAATTAATACTAACTTTGCAAGGCCAAGATAATTTTCTCATTCTTTTGTTTGAGTCCTTCAAAATTATTTCTATGTTCAGTATCTAACTTGGTATGATCCTCTTTAAGACGATCAAAACTCTTCTTCATATGTTCACAGTCAATTTGAAGATCATCATGCTTTGCCTGGTTCGAAGGAAATGGAGATATTACTGACATCACCAAGATTAATGTTGGAGCCTTTTAATGGCCATCCCTAAAAGAACATGTTGCCCTCCCAAAAACTTGTAGAGACTGTCCTACTTTTCTAGTTGCAAATGTTTAAATAAATCAAAATCAAGCCTTTTGTGATCTCTTCATCACATACACATGAAAAGATAGAAACATGAACATTGATGAGCAAGGTTGTAATGCTTCAAGGTTGTAAAACTTTCCTTGCATTCTCATTGAGCTGCAATGCACCCTACTTACTTTTTACTTGTCCAACGCCAGACGATTTTACTCGTCAATGGGGAAGCTCTGCAGCTTAATCAGTTAATGGGTTAATTTCCTAATAATTTGTTTAAAAAAATTCAAAGTCAGAAAGATCCATGATAATATTTTACCTTGACCATTTTATATTCGGAATCCAATGCGTCAAAATTTGCCTAAAAATGAGATCATCCATTAATTTTTAAGGTTGTTAAAATCCCAGTCTCAAAATTTGTTACTGCCTTGCATGTCACATACATTTCTTCATCTTACTTATCCAGCCTCCCCCCCCCCCAAAAGAGCCCATGTACACCCTCTGGCAGGAATCAGACCTGAGGCCCTGCGATTCCGGTGCAGCACTCTAACCAACCAAGCTAAAGAGTTCAGTTGTTGAGCTCTAAGGCGTAAAAAAATACCTGTGGTTCCGGTTTCATATCGCGAAAAAATTAGGGTCGGTAGGTCGGAAATAATTCTTTATTTGAATACTTTTTTCATGGTTTTTTCAATAATTAGTGTAACAACAGACACCATTTTGGCAGCAGCCCGCAACCACCCAGAGAAAATAGGGTCGCACGGTCAATCACATTGAAAAAAATAATAGGGCTGGCAGAAAATATAGGGTCGGTCAGGAACCGGAACCACATGTATTTTTTTTTACGCCTAACCACAAGTTCTTGCATATATACTGGTATAAGATATGGGTAAATACTGAGATTTAAATCTTGTTACCTACTCAAGCTGGCTATCCTTACAGTATCATACATGTATATACCTTTTCCTTATTTGCCCGATTCTGTAAATTATCTCTCTCAGCATCCCACTCTAAATGTAACAAATTAGAAAAATTATAACAATTAAGAATAAATTAGAATTACAAATTGTAATAAATTAGATAAAGAACTTGAAGAAGTGATTACCCTTCTTTTTTTCTGCAAATCTTTGTGTCTTGGTCCTGAGGCTCAGTTCCAGGTTGTTCTTGCTTTCTATTACACCTAGCAGTCACAAAGATCTCAAATTCAAATTTTGATAAAATAGATCATCGTTCCTAACATAGTCAATTTAGAAGAAGGTCAGGAAACTCAATGCAGACCATAACAGACCTCATTATCTATGTTTTTGTTTCGATTTATGCAAAAAATAATCGGTTCATGCATCGTCACATGTGCATTTTTTTTTCGCCCAACCAACCAATAGCAGTGTGTTGATTTAATTACCCAGTATTGATATTACACAATGGTTAAATCAAAACATAGCTATTGGTTGTTCTGGCATAAAAACAAATACACATGTGATACCACCATTTGCAAGCAACCACAAAATCCAAACTTTTTTTCACGTTTGTTTACGTTTCAAACGCACACGATGCGCGGGTCAAACGTGCATGTTGAAACGCAACAATCAATTAGTTTGAACCGCTAAATAGTGACGTTTGGGCGAGATTTGTCAAATGTCACTATTTCGCGGTTCAAACTAATGGGTCATTCCAGAAAACATCCATACCACCCCCACAGAGGAAATAGGAAGTTAACCCCCCTACCCCCTTCGGATGTCCTAATACATTTACTATTATCAGAAACAATTTTTTCTCCCCTCCCCCTCTGGACAGCAGAAATTTCCTCCATGGGGGGAGTATTGATCTCTTCTGGAACGACTCAATTGATTGTTACGTGTCAACATGCATGTTTGACCCGCCCGCCCGCTTGCAAATGGTAGTAATGAACCGACCACTTTTTGCATAAACCAAGACAAAAACATAGATGAGATATAATATGTCCAGAGCCTGAAATAACGGCCGGCGGTTTTCCGACCAAATTCCAATTTTTCCGATCAAATGCTGAAATGATCGGAAATTTTGTCCGGCCAAATTTTGAGAAAAAGAAAAATGTTTTCTTAATGATCGGGTCGGCGCTCAGCACAGTGAGTACCATCTGTAAGTTTGGATTATCTATATTAGGCTAATATAAAGTAATCAACTGGAAAGTATAGTTCACAAGCCCAATAAACAAGATGGTGGTTTACAGCGTGCTGTTGTCGGGTCAAGATAAAAACAGCGTCGGCGGGCGTGATTAAATTATTATTCACTATAACTATTCCAATAAGCAATTCAGAATTAAACATTTGTGTTTTATTATTGCAAGTAGAGTGATTTACTCAGTGCACGTCTGCATGCTTGACAGAGTTTGTTCATTGGGGGGGGGGGAGTGGACTTTGTCAAACTAAACTAAAAAAAATTCCGGTCAATTTTGCAAATTTCCGGTCAAATTTCGTTTTGATCGGAAGTTTTTCCGGACAAATTTTAAAATTATTTCAAGCTCTGTATGTCTGCATTGAGTTCCCTAACCTTCTTATTCTAATGACCATGGTGGAATCATTAGTTTTTGGGAGGAAAAAAAACTAGAGTACCCTCATATTTTGACAAGAATTAGCTGCTCCTAAGATGTCTCTTATAAATATATGGGCCCTTAAGTGTCATTTCCTGGCATTTAAGAGGGCCATGCCACCTCTGCCATATAATAATGTATAGTATTGACTGATTGTCATTCTATTTGAAAAGCCAAAGTTATTACCGTTTGCAAGCTTCTGCATAGTTTGTCAATCAAAATTTCTGTTCTGCTCAAAATAACATTTGCGGGCATGGCATCGAACAAATTGTTTTGCATGCAAAATGTTTACATTCACATAACCCGCGCACAGGTTATCTATCAAAGTACAGTACATACAGACTCCACTACTCCAGTAAAGCAAAATATAGTAAAAGCAAATATTACAGGTATACAAAAATGCAGGCAGGCTAATATAATACAAGTGTACTTTTAAGGTCCAAACTAAAACTTTTGCATGCAAACCACACCCACAAACGTTTTACGAACAAAAAAAATTTTGACTGACAAACGTCGGGGAAGAAACGTTGTATAATGCAGCATATTAAATTTATAATTTGACACTGTCAAGTTTCAACAGTTCACTATAATTTCTTTACATTTACTGTATAAGATAAATTGACCTTTGCATAATAAATTTGACAGCTGAAACACTTACCATCCAGCTCTCGACTAACGCTATTTCTTTCCTCCAGTAATTCATGATGTCTTATGTTTGCAGCCTTTAGTTTCAATGACGTTTCGTTGTAATAGTTGTACGAATACCTGAGTGTTATTCCAACAAATACAAGCAAAACTAGAACCTGCCACAGGGCTTTATGTCGACGAAAAACCATGGTGAATTTCTAACTCATATAGACCAGTATATTCATGGGAAAACGTGCATAATTGCCACCGAAATAAAGTTAAATATTTAGGCTAACAAAGGTGGCAATAACGGAGCTGGAAAATGATGTTCTCTGTGACGTGGAACGCGATAATTATTAATTACTCGAACATAAACTATATTCAACGACAAATAGGTCAATAAATTTCCATATTATTTACTATATTGAGCCCGTGGTAGATTGTGTATACTTCATGTAATTACATACGTGTGGTAAATAACATCTTGCCTACTATAGTACTATTTTATATTTTATTATTAAAACGAGCAAATATTTCTACCTTTTAAACAATTTTAACTTCAGCTGAAGAAATAGGAATAATATTTCTTACACAACAGGCTAAATAAACGAGCTTTGAATTAAAAAAATACAAAACGAAAGTTATTTTGCCCCAGGCTTTCATGCTCGCTCACCATTGCCATCAATGGATCTCGAATCGAAAATTTCGTCTTTAAAAAATTATGTTAAGTTGAGCACGCAGGATGACAGAGAGGCCGCACATAAGAATGAGGAATCTTCTAACAGCAATGCAGAGGCAAACGGATGGTGGGGAACCATTTCTAATAAGGCACAAGAACCCGATCCTTGGCTGCCTGGACTGGTATACACTGAATACTTCATTTCATATAAATATAATTCATGAAATAATAATTACTTTATTAACCCATTAAGTTGGATTGCACCCCAATGTGCCCTGCTTTATTACCTTACTCTCTGTCTAACGTCAGATGATTTTACTTGTCAAGGGGAGAGTGCTGGTGCCCGATGGGGTTATTAAAACCATAACTTTTATACAATTTGGCCTTCACGGTTTTTGCATGGTACCCAGAGGCAAGAGCATGCTTGGAGTTTTTCTTTGTCTTGTGACGTATTATGTAGGGTGTTGCCTTTTGTGTATCAAGGTGGCCGCCTAAAAAGCCATATATGTGGGCGGTGGATAGAAACTAATATGCTTTTGCATAGTGGCCTGTTAAACTGGATGGAAAGCAGGTTTTAGGGAAAGATAGCAATAGGAATCTCTTTTGCTAGGATTCCGAAAATATATAAGTTAATTTTAATATTTTGTCATCTGACTGTGGCAATTTTTTTTTTCAGAGTAAAACACAAAGGATAGTTGGATTTTTTATGTCCTTGTTGTTAGGAATGTTCTGTTTTGGAATGGTAATTTTCATTCAATTGTGATTTCCAATGTAACATGAAATTTGACAATATAATAGTTTGATGTTACGTTTTTGAACAAAATTTACCTACTGCAACATGTGCATATTTCATTTTAGGCGGCGATGTTAATACCTTTCATAATACTCAAGTCAAGAAAATTTGTTGCTCTCTATACTATGGGGAGTATTTTTACTTTGGGAAGGTATAAACATTATCCAACTTTATAGGTGATTTCCTCAAGCACACTGCAGAATCGTACAGCAGATGTTGGTTGTCTTCTATTTGCAGGCAAATATGCAGAGCTGAGAGATGCTTAATTGTTCATGCAAGAGATGAGAGCATGTTCATGCAAGTTTCTGAAGCTGACAAGGGCTTCTTTTAATTACATAGACTGGGGTCCAAGTCTCCCCGAGCCCTAATATTGGCCCCTCCAATGACCATGAATTCTTATCTCTAGTTTCTCACTGCTCTGGGGCCCATATCATCATTTTAAACACCTTATCAGCGTGGAAAGATTGCCTTTCACTGTCACATACTTTGGATCAATGTCTGCAACATTGTATGTTGCTATATTTGTGAGTATTTTATAAAACTTTTTCCACCTCTTTCATTATGCCTTTTCAAGTCTTTCAATTCATTATTTCATTACAATTTGTGGGTCTATGTTATCTGCGAGTCAGGATGGATGATCATATTAATTAGTCGCTCAGCGCAATATTTTTAAAAAATTTGATTGGGGGGGGGGGGGGGGGA